CTTAGAAATGATTCTGGAATTCTTTTAACAAATGCATTTTGTAGAGCAAACATTTTTCTACAAAATTAGATGTTTTACAGCTCTGAGAGAATCGTGATAACTGATTTGTAGCAATTCTCCCGGATGCTCCAACATCAGTTAAAAACTGGTGCATGCCTACTCTCTCTCTCTCTCTCTCCACGTGCTAACTACCAAACCATAACAGAAAAGTTCGCCACAGACGCACAGTATTTCGACAATTATGCTATATGGGCATATTTTTGAAAACCTCGTTTATAGTTTATTTTGAAGCCTAGAAAATTCTCTTCTGTTATTATGTATGAGCTTTGCTCAAGGACTTTGAAATAGGACGATAAATTTGCGAAAAAATGTAAATGACTTTTGTTGAACTGGTGGCGAAAAATGAAAAGTAATTTTTGTTTGAAAGACAGCAGAATGAATTTTTGAGAGTGGGAAGTGTCGGGAAGTGAAAAGGGAAGCATTTCCGATCATTTTCACTCAAAATCATATTGGGCCATTTTCTAGCAGAAACTGTTCCCCGTCCTGGTATGTACATACCAGCATGAGAATCTCGAAATCCCCTTGAAATCCCTTCGAAAAGCTCTGGAAAATCCTAAAAGTTGTTACAAAGTTTTTGTACGTGAAACCCTTGAAAAATAGTGCAACCTATTAGAAGTTCTCCTAAAAATTTTGAACGCTTGGACAGTTTAGAAGCCTCCGGGGCTTCTATTACGGGAGGGGGGATTATACAGTTCGATAGAGAAATGAATGCTCTATCCAGCCATATAAAAATAAAAAACGTCTTATATTTGGCAGAAATATAGTCAACTGACAAAAACCGCTTGAAAATAAGTGAATAAAGCTGTATAGTGATCGTTGATATGCTACATGTGCACTATGCCGATCAATCGTCTGAAATATGATCGGTGTAACTTCTAATTGTAATCGGCATATAAAAAGACATCAGAAAACTGATGGTTTGAGTCATCTGTTGAAGGACGGACTCCCATATGACTCAAACTTGAAATTAATAAAAAATGTTTTTCATTTGACTTGGAAATGATCGCACTTGTCCATTTCTGATGACCTGTACTTTCTCAGAAATTGTATTGAATATGACACTATGTCTATTTTGGTTCAACTTTACTGTATTAATCCTCCACATATATAATAATAAGATAAAAAATGATCACCACATAAACGTGATGCTCGCTTTCTTTCTTTCATTTAAATAGTGTTATGCATCATTCATTCATTCACGCAGGAAAAAGCAGAACGATGAAAACTAAACAGAAACGACTCTTTTCATAGTTTTCTTAATTTCTTTTATTTTGTACAATGTATACAGACAAGTATGAGAAAAAAAAGTTGACATTCTTTTCCCTTCTTCGTTCTGTCGCGTCTATTGCATCATCATTTGTTCACCGTTTTCTTCCTTGCGCGTACGTTAACCATTGTTAGCATTTAATTGTTATGTCCTCTTTTGAAATACAATTTTCATTCATGAGTCAATGACTCTCGTAATGATGCTAAATGAGAGAATACGTCTATCGTACACTATATTTTCTTCTCTTCTAATTTTCTTGGCATATTTTCATAAATAAATATATCTACATGCCACTCAAAGAAGAATGTAAAAAAAATCTAACGGACGAACAGCAGATACATTCAAAATATATAGTTTGTATTGTAAGTATATAGTTTGTGAACCTTAAGTTAGATTCAAACACTTTTATTGTATTACGTATAATCTAAAATAGAATTTATATTATTTTGTCAACTGCTAAGAAAAAAAGTAAGGTGTCGCTAATCCAAAATCGAGCAAAATTATTTTTCGTGATACTTATACATGGTTGGATTGAGTTCATCAAGCTGAGTAAGAATATGCGTTTTGGTCTTTCAGATTAAATCAGTGAAAAAACCATAAAATTGGGATCGTATTTTGCCATTTTCTCTGTCAAAATTCAACTTTTCAACGATAATAATCTCATATTCGGAATCAGCACCAAAAACTAAATCAGCTAATGTGTGATTTTATTAAATATCTCACCTGAGAAGACCTGAAACTTTTGCGACGTGGTCTGGGCGCATTTTCAAGGTTTGACTCAGATCCAAAATTTTCTGAATATATTAGCTCTCAAACTCATGTGTCTAGACCCAATTTTACATGTTGCCTCTAAAAAACGCTTTTGAATCTTCGAAACAACATGAACGGCCAAAAAGTCAGTTTTATTTAAAAGTTTTGACTTTTTCAAATTTTCTCTTTATAGAGTCAATTTGAGAGACAAAATACACATAGTCCTACTCAGCTCGACGAGCTCTATTCAACCATGTATAAATATCGCTCAAAAAATAATTTTGTTCGAGTTTTGGATTAGCGGTGGAAATATACTCAAGTTTATCGTCACTTAATTTTAAATTCTATGCTCATATCTTGGAAGTCCACTACTTTAAAGAAAGTTTATTTATTCCAGTAGAATTGATCAAATGACAAATAGTGACAATAAATGTTTATCACCTCCAATCTATTTGGATTATAATTCAACCACTCCTCTCCATCAAGATGTCATTGATGCCATGATACCTTATCTTAAATCATTTGGTAATCCTTCATCATCACACTATTACGGGTTTGAAACAAAATTTGCTGTAGAATTAGCACGTAAACAAGTATGTGAATGCATTTCATGTGATCTAGATGAATTAATATTTACTAGCGGTGGAACAGAATCCAATAATTATGCCATTAAAGGTGCACTAATGTCAAAATATCAAACAACTGAAAAGTATCATGTTATTACAAGTAAAATTGAACATCCATCCGTTTTAGAAGTGTTCAAATATTTTGAAAATAAAGGATATTTTGACGTAGATTATTTAAACATTAAACCAAATGGTTTAGTAGATTTAGAACAATTAAAGTATTTACTTAGAAAAAATACAATATTTATTAGTGTTATGCATTCAAATAATGAAATTGGTTTGTAGATAGTTGACTCTGTTTTTCTAGAGTATTCAATAATTTTCTTTTTCAATTCAGGTACATTACAACCGATTAAACAAATTACTTCTCTGTGCAAACAATTTAATCCAACGATCATCGTTCATACCGATGCTTCTCAATCAATTGGAAAAGTTTCTGTTAATGTTAATGATTTAGGTGTTGATCTACTCACAATATGTTCACATAAATTTTATGGTCCAAAAGGAATTGGTGCACTTTATATTCATCACGGTGTTAAACTTGATCCACTTTTCCATGGTGGTGGACATGAAATGTGTAGAAGATCGGGTACAGAAAATGTTCTTGAAATTGTAGGACTAGGTAAAGCATGTGAACTAGTAACGAAAGAATTAGAAGATAGGAATTTATTAATGAAAAGAATGACAAAAAGATTGTATGATGGTTTGGTAAATAAAATTGGAAAGAATTTTATACGAGTAAATGGTGATCAACAATTAAAATTACCCAATACTTTGAATATAAGTTTTCCAAATATAGAGGCTAATCAGATATTAAATGAAATTGGAGATAAAGTTGCTATATCAACAGGGGCAGCATGTCATTCGACAAATGAAAGTGCATATTCACCAGTATTAAAAGCATTAGGTAAGGAAAACTGTTCATCTCTCACTGTTGAAACGCATTTTATACATAGGTCACTTTTTTCAGAGCATTTGCCGCGATGCTTATATCTCTGCGAAAACTCATCGGAAAATTCTGTAAAACATCTCATTGTGAAAAAAACACTTTCTTCTATCAGACTACGTGTAAGAAAAATTTTGCATGTACAGAAAATGAGAGAAAAGTTTATGAGACTAAAAAAGTGAGTTTTTTTAGGTTTTGAAGGAAAAACTTCAGAAATCCATAACTTTTTGAATGAAATCACGTGTATATGCAACACGCCAAAAAATTTTGTTTCTCTTTTCATTCATATGAATGAAAAGAATTTATAAAACTAATCTTGATAGATTCAGGAAAAATTCTTTGTTTTAACTTTTTGATAATTATTCTACTGTTTGTCCCAAAAGTATTATACAAAGGGACTGATGAAATTTTATTTATTTATCATAAGATTCTTGTAGTGAACTAATTGAATCTTTATATGTGTCTATGTCAGGAGATCGAGCATCTTTCATGTATATGAAAAACAAAAAGAAAACTACAAATTACTTTATACATGTACTTTTTCATTTGTAAGATTGTTGGCTAAAATACTGAAAAACACAAGAATCTTACGGAAATGTGAATAAAAGTCGAGCTGTGAGTATAATCTTGACACTGTGCGTTTAAATAAAGAGTAAAATACGCCCTTTTTTTATTGGAAAAAAATATAAGAATAAAACGCATCTGTTCTACTTTTTGCTTTGCAAATAAGTGTATATATATAGACTATATATATATATATATATATACACTAATGCAATTTCTTGCACAGTTCTTGACAGAACATAAGTTAACAAAAAATATTAAATAAGAACCTTGACTGATTTATCAAGATAAACGTGAAAAATTTGGGGCTGAAAATTGGGCTGAAATAGCAAGAGACAAGAATCTTGTAAGAAATAAAACAAGCAAGTCAATTAGTGTATTTATACATGCTCTTTTTTTACCCGAGAACATCTTTTACATCATGATGAGAATGAAAAAGAAAAAAAGAAAAAATATTATAAGACTGCATTTTTTTGACACGATTCTATCGCTATTGAGGCTACACGTAAGTAAAAAAATGTGCATTGTAAGCATTATATGATTAAATGACGTTTTCTAGAAATCAGATGTGATCTTGAATATTTTCGGTCTACTAGGTTTATCGTCTGATATTGCAAAAGGTACAATTCGTTTGAGTACTGGTATATACACGACAGAAAAAGAAATTGACAACGCTGTAAAAATCATGTCTGATACGATAAATAAACTAAAACCTGATCAATTGTCAAATGATACTACAACAGAGGAGGTAGAAATAAAACTAACATCATTAACAAAAGGTATGGGTTGTGGTTGTAAATTGCGTCCAAAAGATTTAAATTCAATTTTAAATCAAATTCCAAAACAATTCCCAAATCCAAATGTTCTAGTGGGTAGTGATACTTGTGATGATGCAGGAGTTTATAAATTGAGGTACATATTATAAATATTCCTTACTCAATAAATCACTATAATATTCGATGTTTTTAGAGATGATTTAGCTATTGTACAAACAACAGACTTTTTTACTCCTATCTGTGATAATCCATTTGATTTTGGCCGTATTGCATGTGCTAATGCCATATCAGATATTTATGCTATGGGTGGTACACCAATAAGTGCATTAAATTTAGTCATGTTTCCAAGTGGAAAATTACCGTGGTCAGTGTTGAAACGTATTCTCGAGGGAGCACAAGAAAAAGCCCAAGAAGCCGGCGTTTATATTCTCGGTGGACATTCAATTATTGATCAGGAACCAAAGTTTGGTTTGGCTGTAACGGGTACAATACATCCAGATAAAGTATGGAAAAATTCAACAGCTAAAGCAGGTAAGATCAAATGATAACATCTTATTTGAATATTCTCATTTTTTTCTTTTTGCATGCTTAAGGTAATTATTTATGTTTAACAAAACCTATTGGCACAAGTATCATACAGACTGGTGTTAAACGTCAAATAATTAATGATGAAAATCTTCAGTCGTTGGCTATTGAAACAATGGCACGTTTAAATAAATATGCCTGCGAATGTTTACGAGATAATGATATTCAGGTTAATGTTTGCACTGATGTCACCGGTTTCGGTTTACTTGGTCATTTGAAAGAAGTTTGTTTGGGATCTCATGTCGGTGCTCAAGTTTATGCACAATCCGTCCCATTGATAGATCATGAAAAAATTGCTGAAAAATATGGTCGAATGAATGAATGTATTAGTGGAGGTACATCGGCAAATTTTGAATTTACCAAAGATGTTGTTGATTATGATACGACGTTACAAGAACATTGGAAAATGATACTGAATGATGCACAAACAAGTGGTGGATTATTGTTTGGAATTGAGAAACAAGATTTAGAGAAAACATTGAATGCATTTAAAGAAAAGCAAGTGTTTATTCAATGTATCGGACAGTTTGATGAACATAATGCAACAAATTCATCATCAATGATTCGTGTTAAGAATGAGAAATTGTTCCAATAAAGCAATTTTTTAACTTTTTTAAAATTTTATCATATATTTAACAGAACAAATGGTTTTTTCTTGAGAAAATGAAAAACAATTTGTCTCTGAACTAATATGCATGCTTTAAACTATTGTCAGATGATTGTCGTTAGAAGAATCATATGGTGTTACAGTCTGATTACACATAAGAGTACTTTTTTATCATCTAATTTACTTTTAGTAAAATGTTGTTTTTGTTGGATTTTCTTCTGCTTTTTAATCGGTGCTATTCTTTCTAATCAGGAATTTGCCAACGTTTACTTTTCTTCTAATTAAACTATATCTCAGAAGTAACACCATATGCAAATAAGAGTCAATTTTCTCATAATGTATACGGTTGAAAATCATGTGAAGACAAACTCCTATTCATCATGATTCTAGACTGATGTGATAAGTATTTTAAAGGCGCGTATTGGTCAAAAATATGTGTTGCAATGATTATCAAATAGAATTTTACGAAAAGTTGCATACTTACATCATGTTCAGAATCAAATTCTTTATAAAGTTTATAGTTTTTGACCTGGATAAGCTTTTGCACATGCAACGTGAATAAATAAATCGAAATTGGACAAGATGAAACATATAAAATTTTGCACTAGCGATCAGAGGATAAAACTTACTGGTGAACTGCGATATGCGGTATCCCAAGGTTGAGAGTACTGTAAAAGCTTCGTCGAAGAATTACAAGAATTAAGTTACTAATTTTATTGCTGTGCGCTAGAAGATCTTAGCTGGTTTGAATTTCGCTGTAAGTGTTATGTATGGTCCTGCTGATAACTACTTTAACACGATCATTGTCCACTGGAGTGTAGAAAGTGACGCTTCCATCCTTCTTTTTTGAGATAATTGTTTTTCTACCAGAAAAAATATTTTTTGAAAACTCTCATTATAGAAAGTAAAATTTTTAAACAAACCTCATAAAACATTGGAAAAGCTGTTAATTCCCATCCTGCACTGGAGTTCTAGCTACATCCTTAATTATCCACACTTAAATAATACGATTAGCGCGAAAACAGCAATATAAACTGCAGATAAGATGGCATGCGCAGTTGTTAATAGTTTCGTGTAAGATCTGTTAGTTGTCAACGGGAAAGTGTATAAACTTCTGTAGCAGTTCTCTGAACCGATCCAAGAAATGATTTCCTATCGTTAAATACAATACGCAGAAAAAATCTGTCTCTATAAAAAAATTAAAAATGTTTCATCGTCGTAGATCCGCTCAACTCAACTTTATTTCTCGCATTGACAGAATGATGGAACCGTTATCTTAGACACCGGAATCTTGTCACTAATTCAATGAATGCATGCACTCCCAAGAAAGTATCAAACACTTCGTTGAATGCGCACAATAACGGAAAGATTGGAAAAAGTTTATGGAATCGTCTACGTCCTCATCCTTTTTTATCAATTAACAATAGCGTCCCACAATTCCATAACGTAAATATTGGAAGAGTATCCTATTTACCATTCTCTTGCATAAAAAACTGCAAAACCACATCTTTAAGCTAAAATGTAGTGATCTCTCACCTTGATAATTCTAGTAACAGGATTATAATTCACAAAGTTGTATAAGATTATAATGAAATTGTTAACGAAACGTGTCGTTGTCTTCTTCATTTCAGATTGAAATGAATAAAATAGTTTATGAAAAATCAAATATAATAGCACTATTGAATAATTTATTTGATTGATTAATAGATTGCAGGTAATCAATCATAACCGCAATAAAATGAGAACGGTTAGCGAAGAAAAAATTCACCATTAGACAATACTTTTTATAAAACATAATGTTGCATCGATAAAAAGAAAATACCAAATATGCAATTATAACAGATTAGAAATAATTAATAAAATAATTAATTCCAAAATTTAAAGTTAAGCTACCAAACGGAAAAACAAGTTTCATTGGCTATACTCTTTTTCGTTTAAAATATTGTTTATCAGAGAATGATGACGATAATCACGTTTTCTGTAATAAAGAACATTATTTCCCCGTGTTTGATCAACTAGAATATATTTATATTCAAAGAACAGCAAATTAATTTTATCTACGTTGGTCAATATCTTTATCATTAAATAATTTGTTTTCGAAATATACTAAACAGTCTCTAATTGAAAAAACATTATTCTCTTATTTTAATTTATTTGTTCTGATGTTTGTTGATGCATTTCTGACGGTAAGATCAAGTGAACAAACGTATTTATCCATTAGAAAAAAAAAATGAAAAATTAGATTTTATCCGTCGACATAACAAAGTGAATATGTACTGAATTATGACGTAAAACATAGAATACGTCATTCAAATAACATCTGCTCTCACACGTACGTTTTTATCACCTTGTTTGAGAGAATCAGTGTGAAACTTGAGAGTGAAAAGTGGTGGGTTGATAAGAATACATAAATGGGACATCAGTACGATGATTTTGAACACATAGTCACTACTCAATTTTAAAATTTATTCTCCACAAATATCTCGTTATAATACATACGAACGATTCTCTTAATATTCCAATTTTTCGTTACTTTCATCAAAAATGTAAGTCAAAAGAGATAGAATAGAAAAGATTCCAGTGTACATTTCTCCAGTGAATATATAGCATAGATCAAAAAAATTATAATGTTTGTCTAAGAACCTATTGTGATTTTGAAATAGTGTTAACTTTATTATCCAGACCGGTAAATTATATATTTTTTGTTTTCTCTAATAATGGATATATACACATATCCATTTGATCTTACCCGTAGTCGTTCAATCATATAAAATTGTCCTTCCATTCTCGTCCGTTCATTTTCGGTGACCCCCTTTTTCTTCTTCTCTCGTCTCACATATATATTATACATTCTTTCTCTCAATCTTAGATGACCTTCTGCTCATTCTCTCGTTTTATTTCTTTTTGTCCATCACGTAACTGATTTGGTTGTTGTTATTCGTTCATAAACTACATGTACAATATATACGTGTTCAAGGTGAAACGAAAAATAAAGAATGTACAGTATGCCATTCAGTCAGTTTTGAATAATCATTGAACTTGAACGTATATAATAGAGACAGAGCGAGAGAGAGAGGGAGAGAAAGCAAGAGAGAAGAAGACAATATTTCACAACGCATATAATTTATATTCAAAATTGATAATAGAATCGAAAACACAACCATGTCTGTCAAGTAAGTTTATGATTTTGTGAAATTTTTCTAATAAAAAAAAAATGATTTAGCAATTATCTATTTATTCAGAATCTGAAATCGACATCTTTTGTTTTTAGTCGCTTGTTGTCGTTAAGGGAAACTATTAGTAAATCAAATTTATTTAAAAATATACTAAGCATGTATTTAAAATCAAAATCTTTATGTATGCATATCAATGTGAAGAGAAAAAAATAAAGTTTATACAGAGTAGTGGAAAAGTGCTCTTTCGTATTCAGTATACTCAATAACACTGAAGATTTTCTATTTTTGGCGAGAGATATCGTCAACAGTTTAGGAAAATTTTTTGAGCAAAATGGGAAAAGAAAGTGTTTATTGGAAAATAATATTAGTTTCAAAATTTTTTCTTGAACTTTTGGTGATATATTTCGCCAAAAAATAGAAAATCTTCTGAGCTATCGAGTATAGTGAATGCGAAAAGGCACTTTTCCATGAACTTTACTTTTCTGTCGGTGATACGTTTGTCTAATGTGATCATAGCAATCGGATGTGTTGGGTATTTTTCATTATTGAGGGCTATTGAAGTTAAGGTAACATAATCGTATTGTGAAAACTTAATTTAGGGTGAATATTATAGAATTCACTCAGAACTAATCATATATTTACAAAAAAAATTGCTTGAAACCTTCCATTATTATGAAGTTCGTGCGGTTGAGAAAGTAACTACCTAAGGAGTTGATAACGTAATAGATGTTTTTCGTCTTGAATGGTGACGCAAAATTTTAGAGTGAGATACATATGATTAATGACCAGAGAGAGAGAGAGAGAGAAAGCTTTTTTAATCTCAGTGGAAAATACTTCAGATATTAATCGAAAATGCACGCCCTGTTTTTATTTCGTTCCATATTTCACGTCAATCAGAATGTGATGAAAAAGTCTCTAGGCATTAATCATAAATATTGATAATTACATCACTTTCTATTTCTCTCTCTCTCTGTATGTATAGACTTAAAGATTTGAAACAAGAATGATCTTGATCATATAGCTCTATGTCTTGATTTAATCAAAAAATACGTTTTTACATGTATATTTGTCGTTATCGTTGATGTTTTTCTAAGTAATTGAAAAAAGGTGTGTATGTATGTATATACACTTTGGTTCAGCCTAATTTAATAAAGACGTGACTTTTAAAAACTGGATACAATTAGTTGATTTTTCTCTAACTTTAAAATAAATTACCTTTCAACGATCAGTTCTGTTAAGTTATCTCGTTTCGGGACAATTAAGAATATTTTACGTTAAAAGTTGTGCTTTTGGAAACAGACAAAAAAGAATAAGAACATTCACTATGAGACGAGACTATCAGTGAATAAATATTATTTTTGAACTGATAACAATATGAGTGTTTTCTAATTAAAACATGTAATCTAAATGTTTTATGACTTTACTTCGCGTACAGGAGCTTCATGCTTGATAATCGGTTGTATTAATGATCATTCATAGTCGGAAATAGTTATCTATTAAGTAATTTTTTCTTTTGTTTTATACTTTTAGACAAGAAGACGTGACAATGTTATCAAGCGATATACCTTCGTCATATTCTAACTTTTCCATTCCAATCGAATCAGATACAGATATACTCCGTGTTCAGTATGATTCGATGTGTCGTGATCTAAACATGGATATTCAAACATTAACTGAAGCTTGGCTATCTTATATACATATTCGTCGACATTATGTTCTGGAAGGTGATCAGTTACATTGGTTAGCGTGTTCACTCTATGTTGCCTGTCGTACAACAACTATTCCAACAATTAGTGGTCTAGGAAATGAGACGTGTAATTCTATCTCATTAGATCGTTTATTGAAATCCGCTCATAATCTACAATTAATCGTTTTTTTTGATAAATTACATAAATGGCAAGATATGGCCAATTTACCTGAAACATTGCGAAAAAACATAGGTAAGAGTAAACGATATTTGACCGTCAAGTTTAACATTATTTTTAAAAAGGTATGTTCTCATTCAAACAGGTCAATTAGAAAATTCGTTCGATATTGTATCGATCGTTTATCAGAAATATACTCAAATGTTTACACATATTTATGGACAAATAACAAATTTTAAAAAAAATAGTGGAGAACAAGTACATAATAATCCAAAACTATTAAAAAATAAGCGTAGTCAACAATCAGTCATTAGTCAACATGACTTGTATAGTCTATGCTGGAGTCTATTTTCATTAACAAAATCAAAATTTCCAACTATATCCAATGATTTAGTAAGTGCCTATCATTTACTAGTGGCTTGTATGAATTTGTTCTATGTTAATGTTATACAATCGAAATTAAATCATCTTCTAAAAGGTTAGTACTATCAAACCAATCAAAAACTAAAAATATATTAAATTTAACAAAATTTCTAATACATTATCATTTATGTATTATAGGTGCATATACTTCATCTCCAACGGATAATAGTGAAAATGATGTAACAGTAAGTCATGGATGTTCTCCATCAATAATCGAGGAATTATGTTCACATTACAGTGGTCGTGTCGAAGATTGTCGTACGATTTCTGAACATTATTTAAAAACCTATTTGAAACGTTTACTTATCAAAGGTCGTCTGAAAGGTGATTTAGACACTTATACATCTCTCCTACATCCAATTGAACATTTTCAAATAAATTTACGAGAAATTAATCGTTCTTATGATGAAATTGTATTAACACGATGTGTTATTGATGAACGGATATTTCTAACATCAACTAATGATCAAGCTGGTTTAACACCATTGTACGATTTAGTAACATCTCTAAATGAAAATCGAACGTGTCTCAAACCTAAAACACCGTTAACAAATCGTAGTCGATATGTATTAGGGATAAATGGACATTCAACACCAATATCAATAGCTAATCAAATGCTATCTCATATAGCACAAATTATTGGCAATTTGACTAATGCCGAACCAAGTACAAATTTAAAGCAAATTATTAAAAATCAAATACATTTAGGTAAGATTCATAAAATCACTTATCACCACATATTGAAGGGATAGAAGAACGATAATTACTTTGAATGAGAGTATTCAGTATTATTTCTTTATTTTAGACAGTTTAATAAAACGTGTCAATGATTGGAAACAAGTATTCTATCAAGAATATACAAAATCTCTTTATACACAAACTCCTAAACGAGACATCGATAATGGCAGCAATGAGGAAAATGTTGACGATCATCAATCCGAAGAATATTGTCGATGGTCCAAGGCACGTATGGATATGTCTGTAAAATTGTTCTATCATTGTCTTGATGAAATTCTTACCACTGAACGTAAACATTTACAACAACATCGTGGTCTCAATGAACAAGTATCGTGTACTGAAGCATGTAACAAATTATTAATGAAAGATGAATTTATTAAATCATTATTTGCTCTATGTTTGGATCTTGTTTTGTATTCATATCACGATAAACAACATGATTACAAATGGATTTTAAATCTATACCAATTGGATGCATTTTTATTTGTAAAAATAATTGAAATATTTATTCAAGCTATTAAACAGATTAGAAATTCACGTGAATTTATTAAACATATGAATTCAATGGAAGAACAGATAATTTTACATATGGCATGGATAGATAAATCACAAATTTGGAATGAAATTGAAAAAAGAGGTGAGTTGTGATGTTTATCATCAATTTTATATAGAGCAAGTACTGTATTGAGTTATTCCAGGTATTCTGATGTATGATGATGTTAAAAAACCTCAACAGACCGTTGTTATCAATCCACAATTGTCGTCATCGATAACGACACCGACACATGCATCCGGTTTATATTTGACGAATTCTCCAATATCCCTAAAAGCAGCGAATAAAGTATGTCGACAGCTATTTAACGATACGACCACCATAACAGCAGATACAGAGAAGCAGCCGATACATGAACAAAACCTTTCAATAGTTGTAAGTAAAATTTCTTTAGTAAATGTAGTCCGGTAATAGTACTACTATCTTTTTACAATTATAAGAGTCTCTAACTTCTGAACATAACCTGATAGAATTGCAGTTTTCGCCATTCAATAGCCAAAACTTTAAAACATAAGTATAGAAATTTATTTTTCAGAAAACGGTTTTCTCAATAATGTTTCATTACCTGATATTTTAACATCAAAGTGTCCTCTTCAAAACTGAATCTAAGCGACCTCTTCATTTGTCATTGGTTTAGGCGTGGTATCGGTTTGTCTGCAATTCTCAGGATCGATATGTCTTTAGGTATTGTAATCATGAGAATGAATGAAAATATAGATTACCGACCACGCTGAATCTCATGGCAACGTTTGTTTTTCGAAAAGTTTCAGAAACCTAGCTGAAACTTCATTACCTATTTTTGCGTATTTTCACGGAAACTTAGAAAATTCATAACTCAATCAAAATTGATCCAGACTACGTCACAATATCACGGTGTACTGTATTTTATCCGCGCTATATGGTTTTCTACTTAAGAGTGGCAAAAATAGTCTTTTTCTTTTGGTAGTATTTTCTGTTCGTTTTTAAACCTTTTGTTGAACATGATATAGCGTTCTTACTTCTGAAAAGATACTTTATAGTCTTGGCTATTGAATGGCGACAACCGTAAGTCTCTATCAAGTTTTGTTAAGAAGTTATTCAAAATACAATCTGGGCTCTTAATTTGCAAACGGTAGTAGTATATAATATTTACACCTCCATTTATTCATGTGACATGACACGAGGTTATGACAATAGCGATAAAGTATGTCAAAGTCATTGTGTCCTAAAAAATGTATTTTGATCTGTACGTCGATGATAATTTCCAGCTGCAGCGTTCGAAAAATAAGAAGGCGGCGTGCGGCATGAAAAAATAAAATTTTCGTGCTACGAATAGTATTGAGTTCTGATTTAAGAGAATCGACAGATTTTTTTGAGTTGGAAACGGTGAGGTATGGAAAAATTTCGTCCTGCGGCGGCATTTCATCAACAGCGGCATGTGGATACAGATGTCTAAATGTGTTTATAAGATGCATAGATTACCAATTGGTACCACTATTCTATACTATTTCACTATATTATACCACTTATTCTATCCTTTATTATGTGAGACCTTTTTTTAGTCTGCCGATTCATTATCAACTCGTGCATTAATTAAACGTTCAAAATCTGATAATATGAATGATCGTCTACCACCTCCATCACCTAACACTATGGCCACTCAACAAAAGAAAAATGGCCCGTATCTCATGTTCTATCGTAAACTCTATACAATTGTCTCCATTCGTCTTCATACTCTTTGTCAACGTCTGAATACATCACCCTTGTTTTTAAAAATTGTCTGGAATACATTTTTATCTATTTTCTATAAACATATCCAATTGTTACGATCAAGGCATCTAGATCAAATCCTAATCTGTTGTATTTATTTAACATCAAATAAAATGTGCGTACCTTTATCAAAATCAAAATCATTATCCGAACATTCTTATACTTCAAATGGAAAAATAAGTTTAAATCCAACACAACAGCAGTCAAAATCCTTGATGTGGTCTGAATTAATTAAAGTTTATAAAAGTGTACCAGGAGCAGAAGAACATGTATTGAGAAGTGTAGTATTAACAACATCAACAGATATACTAACAAGTAGGTTTGACTAAGTTTAATTACACACAATAGATCGATAATATTTGTTTTGTATTTAGTTGACGAACTATCAAACGAATATCATCCTTCTTCCACCATTTTAACACCGTCAAAACCAGCCGGCACACGTATTCGAATTGGTAACGAGTTACATGGCGATATCCGTTGTTTCTATGATGACATATTTTTGAAACATGCAATGGATACAGTACAATCTTATTATGAAACACATAAAGTATTGTCTGAATTTCCACGAGAATTATTAACAACTACAATTAGTAATCAAAATATATTTTCATCACCAAGAAAAATACAAATTGGTGGAGAATCATCGTTTTTATATTCGAACAAATCATTGGGAGCATCACTTTTGCCAAAATTGATTCCCACAAACCGAGGCGAAAAGTAGGTGTTCACAAATGTTAGAGCATACTCATAGACACTCACTATTATTTTACATTCTAGTCAATCCCCATGCATACCATTTACATCGACATCCAATTCGTTTCAAGCAACTAATGTCTTATCATCCTCAATTCAAACGGGTCAAGCTCAAATTACTACAACAAAAACTCGAACACCAAATGGAAAATTTATAACAATTATGACCGGTTCAACAGCAACTAAACAAAATGTCACAAATCAACAAGAAAATGCCGACCTGTTAGAAACTAATACAACGCCATCATCGTCTTCGTATGAACAACAGATCGTATTTGGTAAATTACCTTCAAAAGATTTACGAGCAATCAATTCTTATTTAGCAAGTAAATACAACACGACGGCGACAAAAGAACAAGATATGCCGGCAAAGTAAGTCTTCTCATCCAGGAAGAGTGTGTGCCAAAGATAGTTTTTCAATGCTTTGTATCTTTTTTAGTTCTTTCCGTACACACTCAAATACTTGTGTTAAACGTAAATCATCGGAGGCTCTCCTCGAACAAGAAGACGAAATTGAAGAAATCATCCTGGACAGTGACAATACATCATCAACAACCAACTCTCCTGGACCAAAACAACAAAATGGTTCTATCAGTGATGGAGGTCTCAACTCTATTACTCAAAAATTACTTTTACTTCACAATGATCGTCAACGAGAACAACAACAACAACAACAATTTGTGTTTTCACCTCAATCTCTATCATCGTCGCGAGGATCAATATTTGAATCAAATAATTCGTTGACATATTTATCAACGTTAAAATTACCTACACCGATCAACCTAAGCAATGGGGGATATCTATAAATAATGTATTTATTGTAATTAAATTTTACTTCTCTAATCTATAATCGCGTGTGTCATAGATGTCAGATAATTTTTTTCTCAAATATTATAAGTGTTTTTTGCGCTTATTTTTGCTTGTTTTTTAAACCACAATAATACGTGAATATAAAATGCATGTAGAGATATTGATACTAGTAGGAAAGCATAACAAATATCATCAATCAACTTTTTTTACTCTTTTACTCAAATGTTGTTCCTAGAGCATTGTCCAGTGCTCCTGCAAGAGCACTTAAATTTTTCTGCTCAACAACTTTTGCTTGGGTAGAGACGCGTGTATTCTTGGCCGTGAATTCTTATACAATGTGACTGCCAGCACTGAATATCATTTCTATTATTTTATGATCTTAGTATAACGTACAATAAAAAAAACTGATTCATAAAAAACACTTGAAAAATACCGTTTATTTTTAATGAATAGACGCAAAATCTGTGTGTGGTTTCTTCGAGCATAATAACCACTATCATTTTCAAAATATAATGCTCCTGGCTAGTTTTTGAATAACAAAAGCTGATAGAGACCTACGGTTTTCGCCATTCAGTAGCCAAGACTTCAAACCACTTCATAAGGAAAAAGCAGTCGAAAAAATTTCTCAGAAACCAGTTTTATAGGAGATCGCTGGAAAGTGTTTTATAACTGGAAAAGTTAAGGTATTAAGAGATTGTTTTCTCCTCATGAGCAAATACACCAGAGTGACCTCTTCAAAGCGGGAGTCAAGCAAGGCGTTTGGTTTTTTGCGATTCGGATGCTGCGTGGAATTTCACAGGAGTCCCACGACTGGCACTTCAGGATATGGTTAATTTTGTTCTCTAAACGCGATTATACGTTCGGATAAAGAAGTCCTTTCAAAAAACCAAAAGATTTTCTAATTTTCTTTGTAAACTGACGATAAATAGGATGTAGAATAACTCAATGCTGAATTATAGCAAGAATACATAAATTATGAGTTCTTTAATCTTAAATGAAAACAGTCATTTTCTTAAAACACGGTTTTCATTAGAATTTTAATTTTTTCCTTGAAAAATAAACGTTGGTACCAGATTCGGCGTGATCGATTACGTATGTCTCTTCATACAGTATGGGAACTAGGCGTCTTGTGTCATTAACCAATATACCGTGGAATCTTCTCTTTTCATCGATATTATTAAAAATTTTAAACACTATTAATAATTTAAGAATAAGCTTTGACGTAGGAGGGATGCCAAAATTAAATTAAATTTTCATAGTGGTGCAGTTAGGGCATCATTTCTGATGCTCGTAATTTACAAGCATATTTTTTATAAAATACAGTTTCCAACTGTCCAAAATTTATTTTACTTATTGAATATTGCAAAAATCTATAAACAACGTTTATGTTTCATAATCAGTGATTGTTGGATTATTTATATAGCAGAAATATTGTATTTTGCGCAATGCTTGGCACTTACCTTAATCACATTCGCACGCCAGTACCCATTACACAAATACAGCTATCAAATCAGTTTTGAAATGAGTTTCGGTAAGTACTTTTATATGTGTTTTATAAACATCTAATTCTACCTTCAATATTATCTTCCTTAATTTTAATCGAATTTCACGTCTGATTTTTCTATTCAACTCATAAGAGTACAGCCCATGATATATATAGAAATTTTTTCATGACTTTCTCATAATTAATGAGAATGTTTAATAATACTGTGTAAATTCATTACCACAATATGTGTAAAATTACATCAAAATATTTAAGATCATAGAGTCTGCTGATTTTGTGCTATTAAGATGCAATTTTCACATATATTGTAGGTAATGACATGACGAATACCTTTTACCTGAAGAGTTTGTCAGAAATCTACTTCTGAAAAGTACCAGAGATTTGTTTCAGGAAACTCCGTGTATTTGAATGGATCGGCCGGAATTACCCCCAGAAAAATAGCTGACAGGCCGGAATTACCTCAGTCGAGAAAAATGAAAAAATCAGAAATCTAACCCACGTCTTACTATATTTTAATTAACTTCATTAGAATAGGTGCTAATAATTTCAAATTTGTATGACAGGTAGAAGAGAAGAAGAGTTTCAAACTGATGTAATTTCTACCTGATTAGGACTTATCGTTAATTAGCAGAGGTTTGTTTCAGAAAACTCCATGTATTTGAATGAACCGGCTGGAATTACCCCACATGGGGTAATTCCGGCCGGTTTGGAAGTCGTTGTCTCCTTTTGAACACTGGTCGAAAACGGAGAGGGATTTTTAGGAAATTTTTACATCAGCGGATAGAGAACTGTTAGTTCTATCTTCATATTCAATAGCACGCTTATCCGATTAAAAACGCCTTAGAAATACGCAAAATACTAAATAAAAATTAAATTAAATTAAGAATTAAAAAATAATTCCGGCTACTTGTGCAAGTAGCCGGAATTATCCCATTTGACTCTACGAAATGAGATGCTCTCTCTTGCAACTATGCTATAACCTTTATCATAGCCTAGAGATTTTATCATACACACTGCGTTAATTATCTATAACACAGTAGGATGTCTAATGGCTAGTCATTGCGTTAGCTGTTCGTTGAACACTCTGCTTTAAAAATGCCAGTATGACTCAGATTAATTATCCGTTTTTTTTTGAAAAAACTACAAGTCCCAAACATTCAAACACCTTCTTTCGAGCCTTCTAGTTAATGAGTGGATTGGCTAAAAAGTCTCAAAAAAGGACACTTTCACCGCTCACTGCTTCTGTTTAAAATTTTACAGTAGCCCTTCTAGTTTACGAGAAAATCGTTACAGAAAATGACAGTTTTGTAGTCTAGAAAGTAAACACGCAGTTTATTACTAGAATGCGGTATGCTTCACACTACATTAATTAATTTACCCGCCGTCCTCTTCCTTTTGTCTTAGAAATGTTGATCTCACATGACATCAAACATTGCTTAATTATCATAATTAAGAGTGTGACATTCATACAACAGAAGTTGTTCAATTCTACAAAGAAGTATATAGGGTTGGAGCGTCTGGAAAATGGCTGTTGCTTATTATCAAATGTACCGTAGTACAACAATTGGTATTGCCCTAGAAGAATCATTACAAGATATGTTGAAACGTCATACAATTAATCAACGTAGTTCACAAAAAATTTTACAAGAATTTGATCGTTCAATGAATATCACACTCACACAACGTACGTCAAATTATTTAACATTTAAAGCAAAACTTTTATCTTACAGAGCATGTGATCAAGTCTGGACTTTGGTATTTAAAAATATTGATCTAGGTAAGAGGAAATGTTGTTTAAGAGGTATACTTACTGTATTTTGCAAGTTTTAGATTCTTATGATTGTTTATGGGCAAAATATTGTGATAAAATCAAATTTATTGCAGCTCCAGCGCTTAAATTTGATCAACCATCTGTTCAAGTTTCTACATTAACACCGACAGCATCATCTATCTCTGGTAATACAACACGATGTAATAGTAGTGATCGAATGAGAGAATTGGATAGTCAAAGTGAAGTGAATTATATGAAAAACGATGATAATGAAATTGAAGAAATGGCTTATAAAAAGTTTAAACAATAAAACAACTAAAATTTAGCTTCGTGAACTTTCAAACTTGTTCGTTAATCCATCGAATTGTTTCAGTTTCAAAGTAGTAGCATCCAACTACTTTTATATCATGTTTGCACAAATCCATGAATAATAACGCAAAGATATTAGTTATTTTAATTTCAGTAATCCATCTTGAATCTGTAGAAATAGTTTGTGGAACTCATATTCCAATCTACTGGCGCAAATGAATTGGTTGTCATCAAGTTCAATTAAATCATTTAATATACGTTCTCTGAAGATTTTACGAAAAATGTAGGACAAGTCATTTCTTATTCTTCTTTTCGCATATATTTACACAATGTTTTCCTATATCTATTTTAAATGACTTCAGTATTGACATTGTATGAGTTTTTACAACACAATTATAACTTCTCTACTTTATCACGTATTTGGCTAATTTTATGTCTATTATCATAACTCTATGGAGCATTAGCACCTAAAAATAATCAATATTGTCAAATCCACATTTTTTAACGTATTCTATCTAAACTTAAACTATCGGCCACTGAATATTCTACTTTTTTGTTATATACTCATATGTTTCTGCATTTACTCTAAATATTTGTGTATAAGTTATTGTGTAGTAAAATTCACATAATGAATAATTTATGTGGATTCACCACAATCTCTTCATCCAGTCAATGCCATGGAAAAGTTTTTGTTTCATCATTCACAGACCCGAAAATTAAAATTTTTTTTCGTTATTATATTGGTCACGCAGCGAAACACTTTTTAAGATTTTTTACAACTTTTTTCAGGCTCTATCAAGTACCTAGAATCAAATCTAGTTCGCACTAGTGCTCTACAACAAATATAATAATTTTACAGTAAATACAAAATCTTTAATTTTACAGTAAAAATGCTATGACATTAGGAGAAAAGGAATTTCTCAATCAGCGCATGGTCTATCAGCAAAATCTCACGTCTTTCTGACAACCAGGAGATAGTTCCTTCACTCAAACAATTGCACATATTATTGAGGACCAAACTCGAGACAAATGATCCAGAAATGAATCATATCCAATAGACGTGGGATACGGCTATAGTACAGACCAAAACGATCATGCTGCTCGAAATATATGATCGACGCAAAACAAGCTGAAATTGTAAAAGTCGCTGAACAGATAAATAAATTTATCGTAAATTACCACAATCATGTCGTGGTCTGATAGATGCAGTACTTATCGGCATGGAAAAACTTGAAAAATGTAAACGGGCTGCCAAGATTCATTTTTTAGAATCAAAATGAGGCACAGCCAGCGAGCAGTGATGAATCGAGCTGCCGCTCACTCCCATCATTCGCGTTATGGATTATTACCACAAGCAACTAACACTGCAGGATTTCTGATACCCCTGCAGAAACAAATATTGCGATGTGGACCAAAATATGTATACTCCAACTATAGAGAGGCACTGAAAAGATTACCGAACCAGGTAAAAGTCATGACTAACAAAATAAAATGCACAAATTTAAAGAACAACCAATTCAGCGTAAATTTGTCAGACCAATAGTAGATGACTTCAGTCAAAAAATAAAACAGATAATTCAAGAACGACTAGTAGAAAATGATCTATCTGATCGACTGAATACGCATCTAAATCCATTGCCTTGATACATCTGTTAGAAAAAAAGAAAAACAAAGAAGTAGAGTACTTCGGGGTAATTAGAGCTGGTTAGCTGGTATACGTTTCTGCCCCAATAAGTTTCGCAAGAGTGTATTTGTGCCGTCTATTATTTGTTTCAGGGAGTGTTTAGATATTTCTATATATGCATTCGTCTTGGCCACATAGTCATAGTCTTGGTGTAATCTAAGATAAATACTTTTGATTTATCTGTTTGTCGAAACATTAGAGTACTTCGGGGTAATTAGAGGCACTCTTCGAAAATTTCTTCCTTTTTTTTGGTATTTCTTGGCCGTTTTTGATCGGAAAAAGTTGCTATTGAACATGATGGTAGACCAAACATTTTTCTACACGCTCATATAAAAATCTTTTCAAAAACTCCGGCCAATTTTGAGTCAGATCCAAAATGCGAAGAGCTCCATCAAAGTGCCTCTAATTACCCCGTACGGGGTAATTAGAGGCACTTCACTTATCCACTGGAATAATGAGCTAATTTTCGCATATGTGATAGAGTTCAGCAGT